TGTATTGTGTTTTTTAATCTCCTCTGATGTGCTTCTCACATCCTCTGACTATGAAAAATCACACATCAATATGTGGTGGTCGGCATTAATATTGTGGCAAAATCAATGTATGGGAAACACTGACTGAATGATGACATAAACGTGCTCCGGCTCGGATTGTTAGGCACAATGTGAGTGCAGGCCAGCGGGACAGTGGGGAAGGGGGAACAATCGTGCTGGGGCACGTTACAAGGCAATCGGGCCTAGTGTGAGTACGCCCTAAGTTTAATCTGTAACAAATGCGCTGAAAGGCCAACTTTAACTGCAAACATTGTGCACTTAACACAGAACTTCTGAGCCTTGTGGTCAGGCTTTAGGAGAGTTCTCAGACTGACATACTGATATTTGTTTGATGCTGCACATTTCCCTTTTCCTCCTCCGCAATGTCCTCAAGTACAATAGTGCTGTTGAAAAGGCACTGCTGAGATTTGAACTCAGGATTGCCTGTTTACAGGAAAAGCACTTTAACCAACTCAGCCACAGCAGCAATTCCAACAGCTGTTCCAGAAGCAATACTTTGATTGGCAAATGTGAAATAAAGTTTCATAAAAGCAATATATTGAATTGAATCATCACCGATGTATTGCTTTTTAGTGCTCATGAAAACATAATACAAAATATTATTCAGAACATGATAACTCTCATACAATTATTGATGGACTTACAAGATGTTTTGGCCCTACAATCCACAAAATGTCATCCTAACACGTAAATGATTTCTCCCTTTTTGGTACACAATTTTAACCTCGACCATCAAATTATTTACATTCGCACAGCAGCATATCAAGAAGGGGTAGCAGGTCTCAGTAGTTATTCAGGGAGATGGCAGTACGTCACATTGTACCTCATCCACCAGTGAAACTCCTCTTTCAAGTTTACTGACTGCTGGTATTTTGCATTCTAGTGTACAGGACAGGCAAACATAAGCCTAAAGTCACGTTTTGACCAAAGGAACTATACCCCGGAAACCAATAATGTTTGCAAACCAATAAATCACAATCAACCGTCAGATAGCACACAAGTCTCGCTGATGTGGGCCTGAGATTGTAGGTCGGCATTAAATGTATTGCTCAGCATGCAACAGTGTATTTACAGCAAACAGCTTATGGAGTTACGCTAACTACTGGGTCCGGAGTTGTTGTTTTCATCAGTCAGGAGGTTTCTGCACAGAGCAAAATCACGTTCCTCCGATGCTCAGGCGGACACAGACGTGAGATCTGCAGCTCTTGTCGGCTGGAAATGTTGTAATAACCTTCCAAACTGTTGCAATTTTATTTTTTTGTGTTTCTTTCTCTGTGCTGGAGTGCTTTTAAGAACTTTATGTCTTTATTCCAGTTTGTTGTTAAATTTGTAATAAACTTTAATGTGCATCTCTTCATTATACTCCCACACAAAAAAGCTGCTTTAATGGTCAAGCATAGGCTATGGTTTTTCATTATATTCCAATCAAATCTGATGTTCATTTACAAATTTTGCTCATGGATGGTAGTTACTATGTAATTTATGTGTAGTTTTGGCAATATTGTTTTTATACATTCATGCCAATAAAGCTGATTTGAATTGAATAGTGGTTACTAAATAATGATGCCTGTCCATCGCTTTGTACAGAGCATACGTCAGCTGGTTAATTTGCCTAATCTTCGCAGGTCTTTAGACTGGGGTGGAAACGCACACAACAATGGACTGAAGGAACCTTTTAGTTCCTTGAAAAGAGATCTGGGGACTAAAAAGTCCCGGGTACTTTTGGTGGAAATGTGGCTTTAGGCTTCAGCCTATTTCTTTTTCAGCTGTTAAAGGTTCAGTGTGTAATATTTCTGAGGATCTATTGATAGAAATGCAATATAAGATCCATAACTATGTTTTCAGTGGTGTGTAAAGACCTTACATAATGAGCCATTATGTTTTTATTACCATAGAATGATCAGTTTTTATCTACATAACCGCGGGCACCCCCTTCTATGGAGGTCGCTGTATTTTGCAAAGCGCATTTCATCATCACGGCGTTCTTCTGCTTGTATAATTCCGGCAGCGTAGACGCCCGTCACTACATTAAATACATACATAGAAGAAGAAGAGGGAATAATAATAATAATATACAGTCTCTGAGTAGTCTTCTGGTTTATTAGAAGTAAGAAGAAAAGTCACATTTGGACAAATTAACAAGCACACACGTTATTTAGCACAAGAGCCGCCAGCCTGTAGATCTTTATACCATGAAGCCAGAGGATACAGATACAAACAGCTGACAGCACAAATCTCGGATGTTGTGGATTTTCCCAGATGGAAGGCTATAATGTGTTTTCAAAGCGGTGCTGAAGTTGTCTGTTTCCTGCTGGACAGGTAATTAACTTTGTCAGACTTTACCGATGCAAATGAAAGCTGTTGTTTGATAGCTTTAGCTTGAAGCTGGCCATAATCACCGAGAGACATGAGATGTTTCCCCTGTCAGTGGTGTGAAATATGTAGTTACATTAATTTCATGTCGCCTTCTTATTCTCCAGCCTGTGGGTTGGCTTTGCCGGTTGCGTTTGGGAAACAATCGCCTGATCAGTAACGTTAATTGCCAATAAAACCGTAACGTTAGCTTAGAGCATGGAAGCATCAGCCAGCTAAACTTTTACTGCCCTGATAGAAAAATCAAGGTTAGTTGCATTGGTTTATTCTCCAGCGCTGGCTTTGGCTTATAAAATATGTAGGCTAAATATGTTACGTTCGTGAGACAATCACCTGATCATTAATTGGCAATAAAACGGTAACTTACAGCTGGAAGCTCAAATCAGACAGCTAAACCTTTACTGCGCTGGAAGAAAAAATCTGTTATTGGATTAGTTTTATGTAGTTAATCTCTCTCTCCAGCGCTCTGTTTCGGTTTTGTTACCTTCGTGACACAATCAGCTGATCAATAATTGGCAATAATATGGAAGCTTCCAGCATCTAAGATCAGCTAAAACTTTTACTGCGCTGGTAGAAAAAATATGTTGTTGGATTGTAATTCCATGTAGTTATTCTCCAGAGCTCTGTCATGGCTTTGTTACATGGACAGAAAGGTGCCCTTACCTTCCTCAGACAAACAGATGATGAATATTATTGGAAATAAAACGGTAACAGCGGGGAAGCTCAGATCAGCAGCTAAACTTCACATTTTACTGCCCTGGTGGAAAACAAGGATTTGTTTTTACTGCTGATGGTGATATATAACAAGACCGTGTGCCTATCAAGTGACCAATAATGAATACTTTCTGATACTTTTTTTTGGATATTGCTTCCCCACTGTGCACACAAATGTGTGATTTATATATTCACATGCTAAATGCCCATTAGCAACGTTGCACCGTTTTACCACAAGCTGAAATTGTCAGTACTACTTTGTATTTCTGTTGTATTTTAAAAGATGAAAAAGATTTTGGTAAGATTTGCAGGCTTATCTAATTAAGCAAAGTGAGAGGAGCCTTAAAAATACTGTATTACAGGAGTATGAGATGTAGCACTTAATTTCTTGATGCTGTGGCTTTATAATTTATTTATTTTTTTAAATATGGTTTTACTGAATAATTAAGTAAATATAATTTCTTAATATATCTATCTAAAGAAACCTGATTTCTTGACTGGCAACTCTCTGCTATCTCATAAGCCCCTTTTCCACTGCACAGTACCAGCTCGACTTGGCTCGACTCGCCTTTGTTTGGTTTTCCATTATGGAAAAGTTGTACCTGTACCTGCTTCCAGGTATTTTTTTTGTATCACCTCCGTCGAGGTTCCAAGCGAGCTGAGGCAATACTAAAATGTGACGTGAAAACACAGCAGACTGCTGATTGGTCAGAGAGAATCGTCAGTATTCACTGCATCATCACTGCGCGCGCCAGACAGAGGCCAACAACAGAAAGTTTTATATTTAATTTTTCGTATGTAATTTCACCACTAAATCCACTTCTGATAAGTTTTGAGGTGAGAAATCAACTGTGTAGATTTCACCGTAGCTATGCTACTCGCTTGGATAGGGAAGGGGGTGCAATTCGCAATCCTCACCATTAGATGTCACTAAAATTTACACACTGAACCTTTAATATTGCAAGTTATTTTGTGTGAATGGATTGGTGTAAGCATGTAAAAGAATTTGTAAATTGCATATTCACACAAACTGTCATTCTTTGTACATTATAATGTAAACTAAAATAAAACATTAATTCAGATACAAGCCTTGTGCTGACCGTCAAAAAAGCACTGCTGGGATTCAAACCCAGGATCTCCTGTTTACTAGACAGGCACGTTGACCAACGAAGCCACAGCATCATGTCAGCACGCTGTCAAAAAGCACTAAAGTTGGCAACCTTATGATAGAGTTTCATGAGCGCAATGCATTGAACTGACTCACCACAAATCCATCAGAAATCCCAAAATTAAGGACAATGGAGTAAGAGCCCAAAATGTCATGTTATTGTCTGTGAATAATCTGCCGAACAGCCAAGTTTTACCTAAAATATTAAGCGCTCACAAAATGCACTACTTCTAAATCTTTGTGTCAAGCTTTAGGAAAGTTCTAAGACCGATGTACCAATGTGTGATAGAAATGTAGATATAGGATCTATGTCCCTCCAGGGACTTCCCCGAGTGCTCCTGAAAACAGGATACGAAAATATGATCTACAACATGATAGCTCTCTTACAGTAACTGTTCGGCTTATGAGAATCTTTGTACCTAAAAATACAGGCCACAAAGAGGTGACCAAACTCAACCTAGACCAACACATTAACATGTATTTCTTCTTGTACATTATTTCAAAATGTCTTACTTCAAAATAACTGCTGTGCAAATGCACAGCAGTTATCTTAAAATTAAAAAGTGGAGCTGCATTGTGCGCACAAAGGTTAGGGGGTCTGTATAGTTTTTCAAGGAGATCAGTACAATCAGTTCTGTAAACATGTGGCTAAGCACATGTTTAGCAATAGTCCAGACAGTCTTACCTGTGCATAGTCCCTCTCCAGCTGTCCCTTCTTCAGACTGTAGCTCCTACAGAGAGAGAAAGAGACAGATTTGTTCAAGTGTCTGAAGTAGAGACTAATACATATTACAGACAGAAGTGTAAAAACTATATTCGGTCTCGTCAGATATCTCAGGAGTGGACTCAGTGACCTCAACATTATGCAAAAGAGAAATTACAGTTTCTTTTCTGTCCCCTGCCCTCTCAGCTTCACACAACATCCTGGCAGCAGAGACAGTGGAAGCTCTTATCACGGCCCAGGAATGTGCAGAATGAAAAACATAACATTAGGTAACCGATTACACAGACAGATAAATTTATCGCATGTGTTTGCTGAATGAAAATAGCAGCATGTATTTTGACGTAAATTACACAACTTATATTTAAATATCGCAATCATCAGTGTGTACTATATGATGCACTAGTAGCAAGAAGTAAATGACTCTGTATATAACATCTATTTTGAAATTAAAATGATCGACCAGATCCCAGTTTTAGCAAAATCTTGATGTGCCACAGGTAGGACTTATATGAATTATAAAGGATTTTAAAACATGAATGTCTCATGTGATTAGATGTGATCTTCAGTCTTTTTAAAGATATCTGTAATTGTTTCTGTTTGTAAGTTTGTATGTGCTTTTTTGTGTGACAGGCTGTTTGTTTTGTGTCTCCTCTTAATGAGATTACAAGTGTGCCAACTTGTCAAATTTGAAAAGTTTAAATTATTTAAGAAATTGTAAACCTTCAAGACCTTAAGGACAAGAATAATTATTTAATTTCTCTTACATTTAAATGGAAATATTTAGATGATACAGATATAGACAGCAATAATCACAACTGATGGCTTACATCTATAACCACATGGACATTATTGTACCTTCCTACAAGAACAACGCATTGCTGAGACAGACCCAGCATCTCCTGTTTACTAAACAGGCAGTTTAACCCACTAAGCCAAAGCATCCTAAAGCAACCTTTCAGACGGCAGTGAATTAATGCCAGGGAATAGAAGTGTAGAAAGTAGAAAGTGGATTTTCATTAAAATATGTATTAACAGTAGGGCTACAGCAACAATGATTTTCTTCATTGATATATCAGTCAAGTTTTTGTTTTTTTGATAAATTAATAATTTATTCAATGAAAGGTCAGAAAAAGCAAACATAATTGTCATAATTGTCTCCAAGTGGATGTCTTCGAATTGCTTATTTGTTGGAACAATACATTCCAAAACCCAAAGACATTCGGTTTATAATGGTATTGAACATGTAAAGTAGCAAATCCTCACTTAAAAGAAGTTGGAACCAGCAAATTTGGCATATTTTCTTGATAAATGATATCAATCATTTTGCTTTAGTTTAGCATGGCAATATCGTAGACTAAAGATACCTCCAAAGTGATTGCAATTGGTCGCTAATGACTGGAATCACACAAATGATCCTATACTAATTCCAATTACGGGGATTACTTATTGATATCTGATACCACACTCATGGAGAAAAGGTACTGCTGGGATTCAGACCAAGGACACTTCACCCGACGAAAGCCTTGTGCAGACTACACGACTTTCAGCGTCGACTGATGGCCGTGCCGTTCACACTACACAACTTGCCGTCTTGTGACAGGAGTCTTTAAGTCGTTGTGGCGTTCACACTACGTGACGGATCGGTGACAGGGGGTCACACACTACATGAGCTGACAATGACTCTGTCACCCGACGCTGGTCTCCACCACGTTTTGTCAAGAAAACGCGTAATTTCCCTCTTCACATTTCACGTGTGTTACCACTGATCACAGCCTGATGGTCACCGAGCTCGCCGACTGGTATCTTTATAATAACAAACTGTTACGCGTACCTACACACGAAACAGCTGTTGTTTGTTATTATAAAGATACCAATTAAAAAGACAAAGGATATGAGTGAAAGAAAGGATTAGCACACGCAGGTAGCTGGGATTATCTGTGCAACAGAGAAAGCTGGAAGTGAGTAAAAAGTGTTTTGCAGCCGACTCTTCCAGATATTTGGCATGCTAGATATATGGCAGGCGTCGGCGATGTGTGAGAAATGTGTCGGGGAGCCGTTTTGACATGTCGTTGAGTATTTCACACATAATGACTGGCGACCACCGATCGATCACAGATTTACCCCTGATCACAGCCTGACGGTTGCTGAGCTCGCCGAGCGGCAAATCAGGCTAAAAACCGTGTAGTGTAAACTAGGCTTTAGCCACAGCACCCTGCAATACGCTTAGAAAAGACTATCTTTAGCTTGGCAAACATGAAAAAAAGTTTTCATAAAACCATTGCATTCAATCCTTAAGAAATTAAGAAAAAATGGAGAAAAAAGTTACATTTTATTGTTGTCAGATGATTTAGCAGCATAAAATTGTGATTTCATTAACATCACGGTGGCGCAGGATTTGCTGTGCATTTTGATTAATGGGTTGCATTCATAAGTCATGTTAAAATCACTTTTTAAAACTTGATATGTTGTTTGCAAACAGAAACAGGTATCAATAGGAACAACAGGTGTGTTCCGCTATATTCAAACACAATACAAGTGATCATGGAAAGCAGGAGGTTACCGGACAGAGCTTTAGCCTTTCTAGAAATCAGGTTTTGTTGTGCGCCAACTGACGGGAAGAAGAAATGATTGAGCCATACTGATATTGTTTTATGTCCTATGTTCTGGCTTTTCAGTCTGGATGGAGATGATAAACGATAAACTATTGCGGACAGGATTCTTTTTCACATGCAAATGTTGGTACAGTGTGGAATTGGGCTTATAAAAGGATGGTTCATTAGAATTCTCTATTTGTGCTGTTACATGTTGTTATTAAGACTCACTGCCTCACTTGGGAGCTCCTATTTCAATCACTTGATTACGACATGTTAAGAAGGTTTGGATCAGGGTTTATTTCAAGATTGACTTCTTCTTCAGACCTGAGATCTGTATTATGTGGGAAACAATACATAGATTACACAGACTTGTATGATTGGTATTGACAGATGCAAGATGGATCTAGAGTGGGTGGTGTATTATCATAACTAGGAATGTCTCTTTTGAATAGCTGCTGTTGATCCGTTACAAGAAATAGCAACAATTGAATCATAGTGTACCAATTCAAATATTAATGCACGAGCAAACTGTTTTCTGACTCCAGGCATCAAGAACACCCACAAAAAAAATATCTACCACAGCATGAAAGCACTGAACAGTTTGTTTAGCTGGATATTAAATTAACATGGCTTGAAGAATCTAACGCCACATCCTCTGGCTGTTTAGAAAACACAATGGCCCTGGGCTTTTTGCAACTTCAAGCCATCTTTTCAAGCCCAAGCCAAAACCATCTTTTTAAACAGCATAGGATGTATGCAGCCCAATGATCTATCCTATGTGTAAGTTTTTTTTCATTGGAACTTCAACTCACCAAACCAATGCTATTTAAAATAAACTCCATACAGCTGAGTGTGCGAGGGAACTTAACAGCTACAGTCAAGCAGTGGAAAACAGTGGAGGAAGACACTTACTGTAAGTGTAGACAGCATAATTACTGCCAAATCTCTCTATGCTAATTACAGCGCAAACAAATAGGGCAGTGCTTCTTGTCAAACGTTTCCCAAGGCATCGTTTTGTGTTAAACCTGCTGTGTTTCTGTCTGCTTTCTAAACAGAGGCTGCATTAGATTTCTTGGGTTTAACAGCTAAAAAGAGACATGAGAAATTCTTAATGACTGAAGCAGCCTTTTAAATCCTGCACAGAGGAGCGCATACAAAACTGCAATAATTCCAACTGTCAATGATCTACTTCAAGCAGCTGGAGCACGTGTTTAGTGTTTAACTCCACCCCCGTGCATGTCAGTTGAAATACTACATGCGCCCTCCCTTGATCACACAGACTTCCACCCCCACCCTTCAGTACTGAGTCCACTGTAAGCCAAACATGCTCACTCAGCTCCACAGGCCTCGTTGGCGCAGTAGGCAGCGCGTCAGTCTCATAATCTGAAGGTCGTGAGTTCGAGCCTCACACGGGGCAGTTATTTTGAAATTCAGCAAGATTCAAAAGAACAAAATCGCTTAAGTTAGGTCTATGAGGTTAAATGGTATGTGCCTGCCTGAAGTGCTTATTGTTTCCAAACGCCTAAATGGATTAAACTGGAAAAAAGATTCACTGATTAAACTCGTAACAGTTGCGTTCACATGACAGAGACTTATTTTAGATATGAATAGTTCTGTATAATCACAACAATAATGTGATCTCTCACTTCAAAATGAGCTGAACATAATCACCCTACTTTGCAACGTGACACATACAGTGCTGTGCAAAGGTTTTAGGTAGGTGTGGAAAAAATGCTGTCATGTAAGAATGCTTTCAAAAATAGACATGTTAACAGATTCAATTTCTCAATTAACAAAATACAAAGTGAGTGAACAGAAAAAAATCTACATCAAATAAGTAATTGGTGTGACTAACCTTTGCCTTCAAAACAGCATATATTCTTCTAGGTACACTTACACATAGTCAGGAGAGGTGTGGGATTAAACAATTACACCAAACAGGTGCTAATGATCACTAATTCAATATGTAGGTTGAAACACAATCATTAACAGCGGTGTAGGAGGAATACAACTAGGTGAGGAACAGCCAAACTCAGCTAACAAGGGGAGGTTTCTCAAGACAGTTCACTGTCAAATGTCATACACCATAGCAAGACTGAGCACAACAAGACACAAGGGAATTATACTGCATCAGCAAGGTCTCTCCTAGGTAGACATTTCAAGGCAGACAGGGGTTTGCAGATATGCTGTCCTAGCACTTTTGAAGAAGCACAAAGAAACGGGCAATGCTGAGGAGCATAGAGGCAGGTTTCTGGAGAACAGTATGAATGAGTGTCTGCAGGCGACAGTGAAGCATGGTGGAGGTTCCTTGCATGTTTGGGGCTGCATTTCTGAAAATAGAGTTGGGGATTTGGTCCAAATTAATGGTCTCCTCAATGCTGAGAAGTAGAGGGAGATAATTTTGTATCAAGCA